AGAATCCTCCCCTGTTGTGAGGGATCCCTGTTTCAAGGAGTAAAGTCTCTTGTTTAAGTGCAGAATAGAAAATGGAGGGTTTCAGAGAAAGTGTAAGCCTTTGATACCATGCTTTGTACAAATCACATTTAATAATTAGTATTTATTTTTAATCAATGAGCTCTGAAAAAAAAAACCAAAACAAAACAAAATAAAAGTGATAGCAGAGAGAGTCATGATTTGGATGGGATGGGAGTTAGAGCACCAGAGAATAAGAATCTTCCAAATTGGCTACAAAAAAAAGAAGTTTAGTTTAAGTTTGTTCATTTAATAGGTTAAAGTTGATGTATATAGATACTTAAAATAAGGAATAGTCGTGAAAAAAATAAAAAGAAAAAATAAAGGAGCTGCAGAAGGTGCAGGTTGGTCGGATGCATTAGGAAATGGGCAATGCAAATTACATTACTCTACGGGAAAAGAGAAACAAATACAACATACAGAAACATAGAGAAAGCAATTTTTCCTATGGGTAATATTCCATGCCTTCCACAGTATTGTCCCAAATAGAAAATGCATCATAATGAATATAAATTGTAAAGCAAAAGACAAGGAAGAGCTTACAGTAAAGTTCAAAGTCTAAAGGTGTTTTGTGGTTGAGAGGGAAAGATACTATTTTCAGATGATGAAGGCAAAGGGTGTAAACTTCTGGAAATGTTCATTCTTGGTAAAAAAATGAAGTAAAGAATTCTTTATTTTTATACATAAGGTGGACTCTTGCCTGCTTAAAAATCCATTTGTTCCTCCTTAAAGCCGGGACTACACCAATCAGAGCCAGACGGCCGCTGTACTGAAAATATTTTTTTCTTCTTTCTCTCCTCCTCCCTCGAAGTGTGGGGGCGATCAACTGTTTTAGGAAAATTCTGTTTTAGGAAAATTCTCCATTTCTGCGTCTCACATACATCGATTTGGTCAAGCTGTTTCGCAATCCTCCACTGAGTACAATAAATGAACCCATTCAAATAGGGACGGGGGAGGAAGGAAAAAGGCCACTATTTTCTCAGATGGTCGGAGATGTTTTTACAACGGGGGCCGGTGAGGAGGGGAGCCCCGACGGGACGGGATATCCTCAAAGGTGCCTGGCCGCCTCTCAGGCACGAACCTCGCGGTCTCTCAGTGAGACCCCGGTTCTCCGCGATGCCCGCAGCCCGGCCCCGCTGCAGAGTCCCTTCAACTGCCGACCGTGTGTGATGGAGTGGTGGCGGCCGAGCATTCAGAGGGCTACGACCACCGCGCCCCCACTTCGCCCGGCTTCAGCGGCTCCTGGGGCACGGGGTTCCCAGGATCCTCACTCTCTTACCCCGTTTCACATGAGCTGCAAGCACGGTCGTCGGGGAGTGAGCTGGAAAGCGCGTTGTACGCTGTGTGCAAACAAGCAGAGATTTTTTTTAATTATTTTTTTCTTTATACCCTTGGAAACTTGAAAATTCATTTAAACGGGCAGAGGAGCCAAAGTGTTTCTACGGATTTATCTGGAGGGACGAGGTGGTCGGGCAAGCGCAACCATACGCTTCCACCGAGGTCCAACATGGTCTCAACCCCTGAGCCCACAGAGTCTGGCTGCTACAGCTCCCCACCGCATCGGCGGATGGAGTACATGAGTGGGCACTGCCGCTTACTTTTAGCATCCCTGGAGAAACGCCTGCCCCGTCTCGTCCCCGTGGATGCCGTCACGGAAGAGGTGGCTATCGGTGGGATGCCGGGGACACCACGTCCTAGCGGCCTGTGCAGCGGGGTGACCGGCAAACCCACCCCTCGGTCAAAGGATGCCGCCCCCAGGGGAACCGCAGGTCCAGGGTCCTGGGGAGGGAGAGTGCCCCCCCGGCCCCACGCAGAAGTGTGGCGGGACAGGATGAAGTCTGAACCGGCAAACCACGAAAGGAGGCCGGAGAGCCAGAGCTGAAAAGTATCCACGTCAGTCCCAAGTAAAACAAGAGATGAAACATTTCAGGTTATTACGTTCTCCCTTTGAAGCGAACCATTTCCCGCAGATAACACTGTGCAGGTATATTTAGACAGCTCCACTCGTCCAAGGGGAATGTGTCTTGCGCTATTTGAGAAAAACTCTAAGAGTAAGTGCAAATATTTGATGCTGAAGAGCTCTTAAGGCTAGAAGAGTACCATTTACTTATTTCTACACATCAGTGTGGGCTTAGGATGTTAAATAGATTAAAAGGCTAAGAGAGGTCACTGAAGTAGACTCTCTTTCTCTCATCCTGACTTTTTTTCCTTGCAAAGTTTTTGTATTTTGCTTAGAATGTCCTTGGCAAACTCCTCTTAAGAGCCATCTCAGATACTGTATAAGTTTGTGGCGCTCTGAACTCCGGCCCCCTCCCCTCTGCTAGTCGACCCCCCCGAAACTACGCTCCAGCGCAGGCATCCAGCAAATATTTGCCTGCGGGGTCAAGATATTAATAAGCACTTCTCGGTCGCCTTTTATACCCGGGGTGCTCGGGAGCGCGGGGCAGTGGCGGCACTGCCAACCGGGCCGGGGCAGGTGAGCGTGGCCGTACCTGGCGGGCGGGGGGGCCGGGCCGGCGCCAACTGCGCCCCTCCCTGCCGGCCGTGGGCTGCCCCGGTGGTGACACGGGCAGTCGGGGCCGGAGGGGACATAGGGGCGGCCGCGGGAGTAGCCGCTCCGCCGAGGACGGACACGTCGTTTCAATTTAATCTCATTTAAAAAGACGTAACTAATAAATTTGTATGGACGGGGCTGCCGGAGACGTAAAGCAGAGTCGATAGTGGTTCAATCCCATTGAACCCTATTGAAAACCATGACAACAAGGAACAAGCTCCGATTTATCCCGGAGAGTTAAAGCACATTGTGGGAAGGCGTCAATCACCTATTATTCCAGATCTGAACAAATGCAAAATCTTGACTGGAACAAATGCTTCCAACAGGTCCGGGACATAGGGCTACATTTCCCTTTTGTTCACGGCCTAGCAGTTGGCATGTATTTGTGCTCCCCTCGCTCCGACCACCCAGGATGGCTGTGAGGCTGTGCTCGGAGCGGGGAGATAACTACTGTCACCAGGCACGCTTGATAGGTGGCTGCAGTAATCGCGGCCTGGGAATCGTTTATATGGAGCCTGTCGAGTCCTGAAGAAATATGCGGGAAGTTGGCCAAATGGAGCCTTGTGCCCCGTTGATCTCGCCCACAAATCTCGCCGAAATAAATCTCACCTCTCCCTTGTCGCTATCGCTCTACTGACATTTTCTCCGAGAAGTGTAACTGCTCCCAGAAGCGACACCCGGAGCAGGGCGGGGAGGGGAGGTAGCGACCGGGGGCAGGCGGGCAGCGGGTTTGGGGGGCGAGAGAGGGGCTGAATAAATATAATCTATACACAATAGCTTATAGACGCCTGTTTGGACAGGGAGATTCGAACCGACAAAGCGGTCGGATAGAAAAGTATCTCTGCGTGTATCTGGATTCCTGTTTCAAGGCGCTCAGCGCAGTGTTCGCGCCATCTCCCCGTCGGGGGTGAGCTGTGTGCACCTCGACCCGCGTTCAAAGGTGGGCTGATCTGTTGGGTGCCTCCTGCCCTCCAGACTTTGCTCCATCCAACTGGACTCGCGTCCCACTGGTTTTCTAGCTGGGCGCTGGGTGCCTCCCGCGAAGCCGGCGGGAAGCCCTGGGGAAGGCCTCTGCGGTGTGCGAGTGGGGAGCGTGTCCCGCCTCCTCCCCCTCCGGCCCCACGGCTTGACCCACGCTGCGCGATCCGCGTGAAGATCGCCCCTGTTGGTCACTTCTGCCCCTGCCCTGCGGTTGGGGACCGAGCCCTGACATTGCGGGTTTGAATTTGAACGCCACACCGAGCTGCGTGTTTCTGTATCGTATTTTATTGTAAGTCCTCGCAAAGACCGACCGCAGCTTCGCGGGGGGATGGGGACATCCCTTGAAAGGCTGCGAGGAGGCTCTTGTCCTCGGGAGCTGCCGTCGGTCGTCCCCGGACCGTGCCGAGCCAGTGTCAGCACCCTCCTCCTGCGGGGCGCCGGTCTCCAGGATCGTTTGCTGCCACTTTTGGCAGATGAAACGGCGGTCGGCAGGGACGGGAAACGTACAGATAAATGGGCACGCCGTGTCTGATCTTTTCTCCCTCTTCCCAGCTGGAATCGTTTGAGTAACTCACATATCTCGCCCGATGGGATATTCCCTGGGTTAGTACAACACGAAAATATGCTAAAATAAAAGATCTCCCCTACTTCCACGTCCCTACTCTTGCTTATGGACAGACTGTGCCAAGCTCCCGCCATCACCCTTCCTGAGAGAAAGGTGCACCTTCCATCTACCATGCCTAGGAGAGGGAAAAAAAAAACCCAAACAAACCACCAACAAAAAAACCCAACAAAAAAACAAACCAAAAAAACCAACCCAGAGGTCCCCTTCCTCAATGCATACATCCGCCAGCCTTCCTCTCCGAACGCGCAGCCGAGGTGTGAAAAATGCCCCGTTGAGGGTAGGAAACATGCCAATAACATGAGAGAGAACTAGAAGTAGCACTGCAAACAGCCCAGGGAAATAAAACAAATAACGACTTAAATTCCTTCCAGGTTTAAAGAAAGAGGGGAGAGGGAGGAAAATAAAGAGAGAGAAGCGGGAAGGGGGCTCTCGGCAGGCTCTGCGGATGTCCTGAGAGGATTCACTTTGTCTGCGGATAGAAGGGACGCTGGTGGCTTTGGTGGCGGATGGAGGGGGGTGGTTGTTGGTCATCCACATGCCACCCAAGATGTTATTCACTGCTAACAATTACCATTATCTGTCCCCACTTTTGGTTAATCAGACAGAATATGTAATGATGAAGCCTGTTTCCTGCTGTCTTTGGGAGGTAACGGGTTATTCTCTCATGGGGGTGGCAGAAGAGGGGGGTTACACCTACTCCCATTAGGGCTTTAGCACTTGACTAATTCAGGTACTTAGCATCCTATAGACAGGGACGGTTTGAAAGCAGGCAGTGTTTGCAGTGGGGAGGACTGTTTATATAAACAGGACACCTCTGTAAACGACACTAATATTTGGGGTTAGGTGGCGATGGAAAGGAAGGTCCTTTTGAGCCCGGAGATTCCGCAGTAACCAGGCGCGGACCTTTCCTAGCAGCTTTTAAGAAAGGGGGTTCGGTTTGGGGTGATATTTCTTGGGGGGTGCGCACAACCTACCATGGCCACATCCGGCAGGATCAGTTTTACAGTGAGGAGCATTTTGGATTTACCAGAGCAAGATGCTAATAGCATAAAGCAAGTCTCTGAGCATCACCACTCAGCGGAGAACTACACCGGCTCGCCGTACCGAGGGTGGATAGAAACAGACAGAAACCACTATCCCTGTGAGTATGAAACGGACAGGAATTTGCCATCTCTGCATGGCTATTTGTTATTTGTTTCCCCGCTTCCTTTGGGGAAGATGCGAAGAAGCGAATTGCCACTCTAAGTAGCCTACAGGATCAGGGGGATCGAGGCTGGAAATATTATAGAACATTACTGACTTGCAACAATGAGACAGCAGAAACGTCCCGACCAGGAGCTTAAGAGAGAAAAGGGTTTTTTTCTGTGAGTCTGTGTATGTCCCCAGCTATGACAGAAAGCAAAACTTCAGGCTGTATTCACCAGTCTTTCTGTGTTTATCGTTTAAGTCCACTTCCTGGATTATTTTTTTCCCCCGTTTCACTGTTGCAAGAAATCCTGCCTTTTTTGTGCTGGAGGGGTTTCAGGTCAGCCCACGCTCCGTAGAGGAAAGCTGAGCACACACTCCGTGCGTGGACTCCCACCACTGCGGCGGAGTGCCCTGGGCGCCACCGCCTAGATCCACGCACTTTCCACCACAGAGGGCAGGCTGCGGTTCGCAAACCCAGATGTGTAGCATATTGATCGCACCTCGCACACATAAATTGTGCAGCAGATATACCGCGTTTATGTTCTACCTCATCAAAAGGAAATCATCCTTTGAATGGGTGCGGGAACCCCACTGGGATAAGTTAAATATTAAGGTAATCGACCGGAGGGAGAAAAGTAGTTATGAAAGGACCGGGCAGCACGGAGGCAACACGACGGCTAGCAGTCCGCAAGCCTTTAGGCTGTGCGCGGCGGAGCTTTCACGCCCCTACGGGGATTACTGGCGGGGACACAACCCGGTCTGTCCCGTGGGCTAGGTTTAATGTATTTGGAGGGGTTGGCTCACATCTCTTGTTGACTACTGGGATTAATCCGGCCCGGTAAACAGCCAGAGCTCTCCCTGCTAGAGGCGTTTCGGCTCTCAGCGGCCCATCGCTACCTCAATTCCTGCCCCTCTCCCCGGGCCCGGCTGCCCCCTCTCTCTAACCCTCTCGCTGTCCCCAGCTTCCGACGAGAGCGGCCCGGAGATGAGCTTGCCCGACTCCACCCAAAGGTCGCTTCCCGTCCGCGGCTCGGAGGCCGAGGAGAAGAAGAAGAAGCGGCGGGTGCTCTTCTCCAAGGCGCAGACGCTGGAGCTGGAGCGGCGGTTCCGGCAGCAACGATACCTCTCGGCTCCGGAGCGGGAGCAACTGGCCCGGCTGCTCAGCCTCACCCCCACGCAGGTGAAGATCTGGTTCCAGAACCACCGCTACAAGATGAAGCGGGCGCGCAGCGAAGGTCCCGGCAGTCCCCCGCCGCGCCCGCCCGCGCTGCTGCGCCGGGTGGTGGTACCGGTGCTGGTGCGGGACGGGGAGCCCTGCCGCGGCTGCCCCGCCAGCCCACCGCCACCCACCCCACGGCCCAAGCTGGGCTGCGCCCTGGCGGGGTGCAGCGCCCAGGCCGCCCTCGCCCTGCAGGGTTACGGAGCCTGCCCGCCCTCTGCCGCCCTCGGCGTCTTCCCCGCGTACCAGCACTTAGCACACCCCGCCGTCGTCTCCTGGGGATGGTGACAGCGGCGCTTCGCCCTCTGGGACCGGACTCATCCCACGGGCGCGGGGCGGCCCGCTCCAGACCCAGGCTCTAGCGCGGAGAAGCGCCGAGGCGCGCCGGGGCACCGCGGAGGCCGCGCTCGGGCGGGCCGGGCGGCGGAGCGCGGCTCCGGGGCAGTGGCCCGCGGGCCGGAACGAAGCTGGCCCGGGCCATGCTCCCCTTCTCCGGTCTCGCCCGAGGGCGCGGATGCCGCGTGAGGCGCGAATTTTGTAAAACCTCCGCTCTTCCTGCTCCTTTTCGAGAGATTCCTAGTTACAAAATAATGATCATCCTAGCGACATAGTGTGTTTTAAAATAGCTGACTCTTCCAGCGACTAATAAAACTGGTTTTGGCAATTAATTTTTTCTCTACAGAGAAGAGTAGTTTTGACGATTGGGACTGTTTCGTAGGATTGCCTTCTGTGCTATGAAAGCTTAAATATGGCCTTGATTGCGCCAGCCGAATTTAACTTTCAAGTTTGTTTATTTTATCTACATGCGACGGTAAAGGGTGAATAAAGTTTGCTGTAAGCATCCCACTGTAAGCTTGGTGATAATTCCTACGGGAAGCGTGAGCCCAGCGTCTCCCCGACTTAGCGGCTCTAAAAAAAGACATTGCCGTTTAAAACGCAAAGGCAGCATCCAGAATTAAGCCAATCTTTTCGTTAGCCTGTAACCGTTCCAAATATCGACTGTAGCCAAGAGAATTATTCTTTGAAACTCTTTGATGAACTATCGATTTTATTACCTTGGGGTGAAAATAATAATTGTCCTGGCAACCGCCAAGGGGAAAAACCCTAAAAAAAGTCCCACAAAGCCAAACTCAGGTCTTTCGGACGGGACCTGCGGACCAGGAACGCGGAGGGAATATTTGGGGCAAAGACCCCAGGCGGTCTGATGCAGACAACCTGCCTGCAGAGGAAAGGCTGTCGAGGAAAAGGGACCCGCAGAAGATATTTGGGTGGATTTTTTTATATTTATTTTTTATTTTATTTCCTGGAAGGAGGTGACTTCGGGCGAGATGTGCCCCTGGGATGTGCCATGCTGTCTACACACGCCGGAGAGCCCGCGGGGAGCAAGGCTATACCAGGCGCCGCCGTCGCGCAGGGAGATGCGGCCGAAAGCACACGCGGACATACAGGTTCCCATACGTGCTTTTGGTCGCCTCCCCCGTCGCGACGGTGGCAGCAATAGGACCCCTTTAGCCTCCCAACCTAACTCTCCCCAGGGGGCCGCGGCCCCCTCCAGGTGGGGCGCCTCTAGCCTCAGTGCGGGGGGATCAGACCCAGCTGCAATGCAGGACGGGCCGGGGAGAATCCAGGGACGCCGGTCCTCCCACCTGCTTCTCCTTCCGTGCTTGGACAGGGGGTCGTGTGCCAAGAGGGAGGCCCAGAGCGGCCCAAGTCTCTGGGATGCGCGGGAAGGACCTGGGGAAACACAGCTTCTGTATCACCTGGGTTTGGTTTTATTGGTTGGTTGGTTGGAGGGTTTTGATTTTTGTTGTTGTCTTTCCCTTTATTTTTCCTCCTGTCATCCGAAATCTTTTTTTTTTTTTCCGTCTCAGCTGCTGGCCACCTTGTCTCCCATATGGATGGGGTTATCTTAGAAGAATCTCCCAGAGAATCGCTCCTTAAACCTCCTTTTGTCTTGGGGGTTGAAAAGGGCATTGTTGTGCATGAAAAGGACCTAGACAAAATCCGCACTGTTTCAATTCAGGACTGTTTAATCAGTCCCTAGCGACAATTTTATGGGTTTTAGGCGGTACAATAGCATCTTTTAAAACCTTGTGGCCTTCATGAAAACAAAGGGTTTGAATTTTATGGGTTTACAACTCCAATTAGAACAGTGCCAATGTGTATGGGAGATTATCAAATTTGTATCATAAAACCCCTTTATAATAAATAATTACTGGAAACTGGGGAGGGGCGGAGGGGGGGGAGAAGGGACCCGCACTTCAAGCACTGAACTTTGTTGCATGTAGTTTTAAAAACACAGATTCTGCTCTCCATTTTAACTCTTTGCGATCCAGTTATGCAGCTGGATGATCTGTGAAAATAGCGTGATATCGTTATTAAAAGTGGGGAAAAAAAAGACAACAAGTCCGCTCCTCCTCAGCACAAACCTACCCTCGGTCAGCTTGCCGAGTGTTTGCAGCATCCGTTCGGAAGGGCATCTCCCTGCCTCATTGCTTGTCTGGGCTGCTTTCCTGTCCGGGAGCCCACACGTGGCCTTAGGAAAGCTCTGTAAAACAGGAGGGCTTCACTGAATTACTGCTTTTATCAGTTACTGTTCGCCCTGACAATGACAGAGGATGTCCCTTCCCAGTCCCAGGCTGCAACGATTTCCTGTCGTCACGAGCTGCAATGTCGTCTGATGCGGGTTTCTTCACGGAAAACGTGCAGTTTGTGAGCGTTGCAGCTTACCAAGCCCGGGAAAGGTGCGATTCCCGGGCACTGGTAAAGACTAAAGCGGTGCCCTTGCAGGCTGAGCAGAAGTCACTGCAGCAGCGGTGCAGAGAAGATGGTAGTCAGGTTCAAGCATGGAGAAAAGCAGCCCCCTTCATTTGATGCATACAAGTAGAATGAAGAATGTATTAAATAATGAGACAATTCAATAGACTATGGAGATTTACAGTAAAGAGGAAGTCTTGTGAAGAAGATAGAGTGGGACTCAAAATATTATTTATTCCTGACAGAAACAAAGTAATCTGTCCAAATTTTTAGTGCATTTAGCAAGGAAAATAGTTCACCTTACCAACGGTTAAGATGCATCTAGGAGATACTTCCTAAAGGTGTCATTAAAAAGCTTTAGGGCAAAAGAAACTTAGCATCTTTCAGTGTATTTTCTGTTACTTTGGCTTGTTTTTTAATAAGTCACAAAGTCATCTCAGCTGATGGTTTGGATTTTTTTGTCTCCCCCTCAAAGATGTGAATGTACAGTCTCTGCCTTTTTCCACTGCGTCTCACGGTTACTTTTACCCTGAAAACAGGCCTGTGATTTCAGTGACACTAATGAATAAACATCCCATGATCAAGATCTAAATGCTATCTTCAGCTAATGAAAATTATTGCTAAGGTCTTCAAACATCTTCCCGTGTACTTTATTCTTAGTTGGTAAATAAACTATTGACTTTACAAAGGCCCAGCCCTGTTTCAGTTGTAGCCCCTGGACGCATGTTTGTTAACTCAGAACTACAGCATTAAAACAAATAACTAGATCACCTCCAAAAAATGGATAAAAAGTTCTGAAAGAGCATATGATCAAGCTTCTTTGTAATACTTTATGAATGAACTGAGTGAGTGTCTCCCAGCCAAAGCACTCCCATCATTAGTCTTTGGATATACACACCATTTATTTTAAAAATTACAACAGATGAAAAACATCACCTCCCAAGCAGAACTCTGCCATGAACCAAATTATCCTGTCACTGACTTAGGAAAGGCTCTTGGCAGCCTTGCAGTATGCCTGTCTCGGCTAATGACTAGACTGTGTTTTTAACTAAGTGCAAGTCAGGTCTATGGAAACTCCTTGGACTTTTCAGCCTCTCCTACCTCCTAGCTTTTGAAAGGAGTAAACCTTCCACCCTTGGTTAGAGCCCAGATGATGCTGAAGGGGAACAGTGAGGTCACTTTGCTTTCAGAAACAGGTGGTACCCAGCACTACATGTGGAGAACCATAGGCCTGGCTCTCCCTGTACTCAGTGACCTTCACAAGTCACAGTTCATTGTTGAAGATAGTGTCTTACTGGACTTGAATGCCTGATAACTGCTGCTTCTTGAGAAAATGGAAACAGCCAGGATACAAGGAATAGCAGTTTCTGAGCCTTAGTAATGGTACTCAGCCTTTTATTCAAAAGCCTAAATAGCGCATTTTCCTTTTCCTCAGCTGGTGCTTCCAACTCTTGACTGCTGGACCAGTCCCATACATACTGACCATCAGGTATGTAGGAGCTCTTTCCAGAATTCCTGCCATATCCAAAGAATTGCAAAACAAAGACTCCACTCCACCTGCTTGACATAAAATAAAAAAATTAGATAAAAAAATTAGACAAAAAGTCAAGTGCCACCAGCATCAGCAATGGCAGAAGGACTTCAGGTACTTCATGCAACTTTCAGGAGGCTTCTGATGCACTATGCTGGTTTTGGCTGGGATAGAGTTAAGTTCCTCACAGTAGGTAGTATGGGGCTGTGTTTCGGATTTGTGCCAAAAATGGTGTTGACTATATAGATATTTTTTTGTTGCTGTTATTGTTGAGCAGTTCTTGTACTACATCAAGGCATTTTGTGCTTTTCATACTGCCCCACCAGCAAGAAGGCTGAGGATGTGCAAGCATTTGGGAGGAGGCACAGCTGGGACAGGTGACCCCAACCGACCAAATAGAATGTCATATGGCATCATGCTCAGCATATGAAGTCATGGGCAGAACAAGGAAGAGGAGATGTTTGGAGTTCTGGAGTTTGTCTTCCCGAGTAACTGTTACATGTGATGGAGCCCTGCTGAACACCCACCTGCCCATGGGAGGTAGTGAATTAATTCCTTGGTTTGCTTTCTTTGCGTGTATGTTTTTTGGTTTCCCAATTAAACTGTTTTTATCTCAACCCATGAGTTTTCTCACTTTTGTCTTTACAATTCATCTCCCCCATCCCACTGGTGGAGGAGTGAGCAAGTGGCTTCATGGTCCTTAGCTGCTGGCTGGAGCTAAATCATGGCACTCATTTTAGTTAAAAGGGAACTGCCTGTGGGAAAGGAGTCAGTGGATGCACAGTTACTCGCATCAGAGAAGTTGCTTTATGCTCCTCAAGCATAGAGCCCTGCTTAAGAAACGCTCAGGAGTAGAGTAGCTCAGATCAGCTGTAACATTACTATTGTAATTTTAAAAATCATACCACCACAAGATATAACAGGTGTAAGAGATCTTTGCCCACCACTAAGTATGGATTACTGAGCTATGAGATCAGGTTACTTTTCATGGTATTCAGGCTTACAACTGCATTCTAAATGGTGAAGGAAATCAGTTCTCTAGACCAAGGAAGGATGCTGGCAGTTGTGCCAGTTTTCATCCTGTTTCCTCCAGTCCTCTTCCATTTAAAAGAGATCATAAAGTGTTTTGGAAAAAGCAAAAATCTCTCTAGAACACAGCTATATCTTTCTTAATATTCAGGACCAATATGGAGAACAAGTCCATTTCAGACATTCACAGGTCTTAGACTTCCTTCCTGAACAAAAGGAGAACAAATTATTTACTTCTTCACAGGTCTTTGATCCATCTAATTCTTAAATCAAAGAATTAGATATCCTCTTCAGAATCTGACAGAATTTGGTTCTGAATGAGGAATACTTAAAAAGAGAAAAGAAATAGACAAAGACAGAAAAAAAAAAAAAAAGATGTAGACAAACCAATAGCAACAAGGAAAAGAATAAATCTCTTCACCAGTTCTGGTGCACAGAGGGTGTATTTCCCTGGGACTCTCCATGCTGCTTTTGAGCAGTCAGCCAAATTCCTGAGGGGTATCTGCCGTGCAGGACAGTCCTACTCACT